AACAACCCATACAGGATTACCAGCATACAATCAAGGGGAAAACTGATCATTCTCTAATAAAAAGTCTGTAATGTATAGATTCACTGGACAATCGTCGAAAAGAATGCCTTTTGTGCTAATCTCCTGCATGTCTGTTCTGGTACAGCGCTTTCAGAGTAACCGGGGAGGACTTCAGGTTCTGCGGAGCATCGCAAGCATTTGAAAGTATCGCTTTGATAAAGGAATGTGTTCACTCACCCGCTTCCCTAATAGGCATAGGCGAAATTCCCATCCACTGGTTAATAATTGCTTGCTGCTACACAGAAGCAACTCTCCAAACGCCACATGCATTGACTTTGTTATTTTTTATTGTCAAGTATTTCAGCCAGTTCCCCATAGTCAAGAACCTGAGATAGCTCGAAAAGCTTCACTTGGAGTTCATTGGCTAGGAGCCGATCGCTCTGGACAGGTTTTCGAACAATTCTCAGGTCTTGACAGCGAAGATTTGGTCGGAACGATGAACAATGCAGTTAATAGTACAGTGCGAAACAGTTCTACCTTAGCGAATCCTCTATGGCATAACAAACGCACAGCATCATATTCCAAGTTTTCAAGAAGACCGAACTCGGGAATAAAATAATATTATTTCTCCCATTTTGCAGTTGCGATGCTGAGCCAGGAACGCTTGCAAAGTACGTTCTTGCTCTGCTCCGTAAGCCGAACAAATCTGATGAGGAGATGCGAGCGTTCAGCAGTAGCCAGTTGGAGGTGTTTCTTCAAGGAAGTAAGTGATTCTCTGGGAATTCGCCTATATGCTTTTTGCCTTTTCTAACTGATTGTTAGGTGACCGTTTTTCCCAGTTAATATCTATAATTTCAACTAATTTCAACCTGTTTTAAGATACGAAAAGGTTCGTAGACAAGATGTTTGCTGTGCTAAAAGATGGATCGTATATTCCAAAAAGAGAACCATCGCCGATTCCTGAAGAAATTGTGAAGGAAAGGGTTGCAAAGAAAGAGGAAATGAGGAAAAAGGAAAAGGAAAAGGAAAGGGAAAGAGAAGTCGTTGAGCCAAAGGTAGTGCTAAAGCTTTTTCCTATGCAACTTTGTTTTTGGGCCTGCTTAAGCTATGCTTGTTCTTAATTACTTGATCTCGTTTAGCCTTCGCGTGAATCTGGTCGAAGTAATGACCGTAATGATCACAGTGATGACCGACGCAAGCCCGTTATTGAAAAACCACCGAAGAAGGAAGAGTTGCCACCACCTGTACGGAACGAGAGACCACCACGCAAACGGATAAGTCCGCCACCCGTCGACAACGTTAAGGTTATTTATTGTACTATTTTTTTTCTTGAAGACTAGTGGCTGCGCGTGCGTCTGTCTGGCAGAAAGTTGTGCTAGATGAACTAGGAAAATGAGTCTGCAGTTTTTTGGCAGCTTAGACACCGCCTAATATCAGAAAAACTAATATTAATGTTGTTTTCAAGCGTGTTGCCTACATTTTGATTCCTTTAGAGAGATACTCGTGAACCCATTCGCGATGGCAGGGAACCGTTGAGGGATCCGAGACGTCGTTCTCGTTCACGATCACCTCGTGATCGCAGAGGAAGACTTGGGGCCCGCCGTTCCCCTAACGAACGCTTCAGAGGAGAGAGAAAAAGGACAAGGTCTGCATACTAACTAGTTAAAGTTTTGTGAATCCACTGGCTTCATAAAGTATGTGGCATACTATGACTGATTACTTCAGCTATGTTAAATGCAGGTCCCAAAGTGGAGGACGAAGTAGATCTGCAGAACGACGAGATCGCCGATCTCCTCGCGTCGACGAACGCAGAAAGAGGCGATGTCGTGATTATGATGGTTGGTTTATCTTGGCCTTAGTTATGAGACTTTTGCAGAAGTTTCCGGTGTAAACTGCATAGTAACATGCCTCTAGAATCCATAGCGTTTCCCACTTCTACGGCAGCAACTTAATGCCAAAAAAGGACCATCTTATCATGGTCATCGGGTAATGGGTTAAAATTGTACGAATGCTGCGATGGTGACGAATCTTTTATCACGCAGCTCGCGCGCTGACCTGGCGGCGGCACATACGTCGATTACGGCAGAATTTCGATTCCGTGACCTCCCATTTCAAGGAGTTTTGTTCGATTTCGACGGGAACTACAAGGTCGTGTGCTATAATGATGCAAAGTGACCGGGCGACGACAAGGAGGTGGGCAGTGGCAGAGCTCCAGTTACTGCAGCAAAACAACCGTCGTAGCATCCTTGTTCTGCGGGATTTGATCACTCTTCAAAGACTTATTATCCACCTGATCTCA